TCTCCTTCTCTCCTCCCTTCTACATGGGACCATGTAATAAATCACACAGAAGCACTGTCAGCCTAAAACACTGGCCATAAATCTCTCCCTCTCAAACAAACACACAGGAGGTTTTTTGTGAAGCTGGTGGAGCATGAAGCCTCCTCCACTCCATAACAAGTGCCTTTACTTCCTCCTTCAACCAGATTGTTGGAGGAGGACATGAATAGTTTGTGTGCAACATCTCCTCCATAATGTGTTTTTTCTGTGCACAAGTGTGAAGATGTTACTATTTGCCTTGTTTCTCAAATGCCTCGTCCGTTAAGAAGGAAGCCTGTCTGTCCGAGGATCCTGCTGTACATGAGCATTGTTTTTCATGTGAATTAGAACCCACTTATGGGAATGGTTTCATGATTGAGCAGAAGAGCAAGGGGACAGGGGCTAGTTATCCACTTTGCTGATGTGGGACCTCGTGTAGGGGGCTGAATACAGCGGAGAGCCATCTCTCACCCTAATACAGCACCACCAGCTGCGTCCCTAGCCCCTGCAATGAAGACAGATGAGGCTGAATGGCTATGATCAGTGGGAGCGGGAATTCATTTGCTTGTGTAAGAGAGAGAGAGGGAGCGAAAAAACCAGTGAGAGATAGAGTGTGTGAGTGTGTTCAAGCTGAAGAGCGGCGATAGAGCGGAGCGAGCCATGTTGTTTTCACAGGCCATTTCCCCCGGGCTTTCTGTGTGCACAGTCGGGGCCGAGATAGAGACAACTATTCATGTAGCTTAAATATTCAAGGTAGCAGATAAAGCAACATAATGACTCCCTGGTAGACATTCTACACACACTTCTGGTAACATCACAAAAACTTAAGTCACAGTAAGCAACAGTTTGTTCTCTTTGGAAATCCTCTCTAAGTACAGATTAAAACTAAGTGTGGTTGGCCCTGGTGTGGCTCTGGCAATGGTATTCACTTCATAGGTCACTCCAGACTATCTTAAAGGTGACCTATCATGCAAAATGCACTTTTGTACATGAATATGTGTCCCCGGTGTTCCAGGGAACTCACCAAGTGTCAGAANCCGCTAGGAGTGCTCCTAACTCGCGCTAAAACATTTTACGTAGGAGTTTTTTCTTAAAAGTTATTCACAAAGCCGCTGAGACCTACTCATACTAAGGTATCCTTAGTATGAGTAGGTCTCAGCGGCTTTGTGAATAACTTTTAAGAAAAAACTCCTACGTAAAATGTTTTAGCGCGAGTTAGGAGCACTCCTAGCGGTAAGATAAAATGCTTTGTGAATACGGCCCCAGGTCTGATAATATTTAATACATTTTTTCATACTGCTATTGTGTTGCCTAGTCAGTGTATTTACTGTACATTGTTGAGCCTTGTACTTTGCAGAGGATTACAATCAAATGCAAAAAAAGGGCAAACTGCTCAAAAACGTGAAAGGCCTTTTCAAGCTGCATTATAATTAGCGCCATGTCTTTAGTGAAACGCACCTTGAGACCGGGAAGATCGTGGTTTTAAGTATTTTGATATCTGTGGCTGCTTTCTTTGAGATATACACTTCAAAGGCTTTCTTGACAATTTTCCACATCTATAATCCCTACTACCAGTATGGTTAATGTGAATCAGAATCAGAAATGGGTTTATTGCCAGGTAGGTTCACACATACGAGGAATTTGACTTGATGTCATGGTGCATACATAAAATATAAAACGAAGTTTCCACAAGCAGCAGTTAGCTTAGCAATAAAAAGCTTGTATGTAACAAAGCCTGACTACCAGCACATCCAAAGCTCACTTATAAACAATTTACTGCGTATCCCGTTTGTTCAAACAAAATGTTAGCACAAAAAACTGTAAAAATGAAATGATGCAGTGTTAGATGGATTATGTGCCAGACTATTTATTGGCCGGGCGCAATGACTTCCTGTAGCCTGGTTGTTACCCTGATGTTGCCCGGCAACCACCAGCTAAAGAAAATATCCAGCAGAATGACCTGAAACCAGAGCCAGGCTGCTCCAGACAATGTTACTCTGCCGGTTCTAGCTTCATTTTCACATTACGTTTGTAACGTATAGAAAGTATTTGTACTCTTTGAGACCATTTTTATCCTCCGTGGGGAAATTCAGTCTCTCTCCTGTTGATTTGCCATCCACTGTTTTGATCAATCAAACAAAACTAACATCATATAGACTATGATTGGATCTAGAAAGTCATCAGCATAATGATTTGAGCCACAGTAGAAACAATTAACAGGACATTGCTATATGTTGGTGATTCTAGACATCCTGATGTTCCTATTTTTAACACTAAAATGCTACATATTATGGGGTAGTCCTTTAGGCAAAGTCTGCAGGTTATAAGGTTTGCATAAGGTCCATTAAAAGTTTATTAAAGGGCTTTCAACCATTCATCGTATTCAAAGTGGGACTGTGCAGAACCCTGGGGCTTATTGGCAATGCAGGTCTGTGAGGGCAGACATTGGGACCGGCCCAGCAGTCAGATGTGGATTCAGTTTCCTGTCCATTAAACATCAAAGTCGAGTCTGGGTTTGCATTTGAAGGGACATAACGATATTATGTATTTTAACGTTCCACAGAAGACGTCAAGCACCAAGCAAACAATTTTTATCCTAATATGAGCTCCTTGTGGGAGCTTTGAAACATGACTGTCCTCATATTGGTTTATGAAACGAGAAGCATTTGAATGACAAGATGTTTTAGAACAAGAAGCAAAGCAAGCAGGTAGTAGTGTTTGGAGCTTGGCAAAAGCACTTTCTTAGCTAATAAAAAACATTTGGGCTGGAGACTTTGTCTTCCATCCATCCTTGGCAGATGATTTAAGAGACATTTGAGGATGATAGCCGGTTTGTTGACAAGATGAAGCTAATGATGGATGACTTTGGACTCAACTCAAAGTCTAATACATCATCTGAGCCAGACTTTCTCTACACCAAATTTTGCCTCATACAAATAGTTACACTGTCCAGTGGTTGGAGTATTGAAACGAGAAGTCAATGAAATGTACGGACAGAGCACTCCTCATTCTGGCCCACTTCTTGCTGTTGGCACCTTTGTTTACTTCTCCCATCCAGCCTACTGATTCAGTTTTTCCACAATACATCATGGTGATGTCTGTAATCACTGTTTTTTTCTGTGTAAAAATTAAAATAATTGGAGCTCAGTTAATTTGATTCACAACTTTTGCCTTGCAGGTTTTCACACCTTTCACAGGCCAAAGCAGAGCCGTTGGTGATGTCTGTCAGTGTGTCAGTGCCACCTCCAGACTGCAGGCTGTCCACTGTATAGATTGTTGGCTGAAATACTAAAGGGGCAATTTTATTAGCTCACGACCCAACCTTCTGTACTTGGCTGCGTTATTGAAAATAATCCCTGTTGTTGATTATCCAATCAGACCCTTCTGAGTTCAGACTGCATGATTCAAGACTACCTGCTGATCAGCACGACAACATATTCCCAGCTGTATTTTAATGCTGCTTTTATTCTGGGTATTTCCACATAGTGTTAAACCCATGCTGAAGTTAACTGACAATAAAGCTACTCTAACAAAAATAACACAAATATGACTTTAATACTATGACATGCTAGTACATAAAGATAGATTACAATCCAATTTAAAATATATTATGATATGTATTAACTTTTAAAATCTCACAGGTGGAGTTGTACGTAGAGTGAGTTATGATGATGAGGTAATGTTTCTGAATAGGGCTTTTAGCCTTGAACAGTACATATTTAAGAATTTGGTAACTTAGCTCAGGTTTCTTTACACTGGCTCTCTTTTTCTTCAGTGAGTTCACATTTACTCTTGATGAGATCCAACTTCTGACAAGACGCAGTACACATTCTTGATACACATGCTTTCCTCTGCGCTTACGCTGCAGACTTACATGATTCTCAAAGTCAGGAATCGGAACAAGTGGCCTCTGTTAAGCGTCACTTCAGTCCAGACAGTAATTCACATTACCTCCAGGCTAAACTGCCAGCAGAATTATAACTGGTGCAATAAAGCGTTGGAAACTAAGTGAATAAAAGTTTAAGAAATACAGATCGTCATTTATGTTTTTTGTTTTTTTTTGCCGCTTGCCAATTGGACAAACTTGTAGGTGTTCAAAATCTCAATTTCAATTCCAATGGAAAGGTCAGTTGTATACACTGGTGATAATTATGAGACCTTTAACTTCTATGATCATGGACAGATGGCCGACTCACAAATGTAAAAGTTCTTACTAAGGTTAAACTGACTGACAGAAGTTGTACTGTTTTAAGATATCTTTCTGAGGTTCTGTTTTATCCGTTCGATCAACTCTATTTCTGATAAAGTAGTGCTGCCTCAGGAACTAAAACACTGGCAGGGACACTGATCTAACAAACAATTTGTAATAATGTTAAGAAACTACATTTAGGAAAAGTAAACCTGAAGGAATCAGCCAAATACCTGTCTGAAGCATCATGGTCTGCCATGAAAGAACAATAACAGTCTTTGTAACTGACAATTAAGGAATAGTGTTGTACTATTTGCACAGTACATGAAAAGTGATTTTCCACATTTACCACACAGTTTGGAAACGAGTCCAATAGTGTATTAAAGTGTTCTCAATAAACCCAACAGGGCCACCAGGAAAGCCCAGAAAATTGGCATTTCTGCAGAGTTGAATTGTTCGAACATAAAACAGTGTGACACTGTGACCCAAATGAAAGAACAGGAGAGGTTTGTCTGAAGTCGATGAATGAAACTATTTATTATGGAGAGCATTCCCCATATTAAGGCTTTAGCTAAGGTTCAACATAAAAGGCCCATTTTTGCACGCTTTTTCGACTTGTGATTTATATTATTCTTAGACCAGCATATATGAAACTGATAAACCAAAATTTTTTAAATGTGTGGGGATTAAATGTGCTGCTTGTTTATCATCACTTTCATGTCGCTGAAATGAGGAGCAGCCATGCTCCAGCGCACAGCGTACCTCGGTGTGACGGTGAGACGGCTCTCCGCAGCCCGGATGGAGGAAGCTCAGTCCGCATACAGTATAGCTGATGGTCAAACCTCTCGGCCTGGAGGTTAATATGACATTTTTTCACCCAGCGAACTGCCAGATGCATTTCAACCGGCGTAAAAAAGCAGCTATTTAGTAGCGCAATTTAGAAACAACCGTTCATTTCGCCGTGCTTTCATGGCGTCTGGCTCCGGAGATGAAGAGGGGAACACGGAAGGCGGTTCATGGAGACTCATAGGCCCGGTCGAGGGGCTCTCCAAGAAGCGCTGCCGCCTGATGTACTGCTCCCTGGGCTTCAAGTCTGATGTCTGCCTCTTCTACGTGAAGGGGGAGTTTTTCGCCATGGATGCTCGCTGTGCACATTCCGGTAAAACATCAACCTACACGTATCAGTCGCTTATGTTAACCCTTTAGCTATCTAGGCAAAAATAATGCACAATATAACGTTTTTGTGATTGTAGCATATGATAAGGGTATTCAGCGTATTGTAAAGAATGTAACATCTGTGGGTCAGACTACAACTGTATACCTCTTACACAAAATTAGTATGGTTCATTTTTCCCACAGCTGATAGCCTCCGGAAATATCACCCGTGACAGCCCCCTGCTGTCACATAGCTTCATCAGTTTCACACCATGTTATTCAAGCCTCACCATCACATTTTCCCAGAAGGTGCACATCAAAAGCCATTTGTTTTGTTTTTTTAAAGCGAGAAAATGTGAGTAACAATTTCCTGTTTCTCCCAGGCGGTCCTCTGTGTGAGGGGGACATCGAGGAAGCTGACGGAGTCCTGCAGGTCTTCTGTCCCTGGCACGACTATGACTTCAACCTCAGGACTGGGAAGTCTGGGACCTCCTTACAGGTCAGAGATGAAATATGTCCTTGCTGTATTACTTCTTCACAAAAACAGCTACATTTCATTGCTCAGATTAGAAAGGTATAATTCAAATGTGAGTTAGAGTAGAAAAAACATTAATTAGATCCCAAATGATTCCCAAAATATCATCACAAATCAAATATGCATCACATTTCCAAAAGAATGCCCTGTAGGCAAAGGCTTCACTCGCTGACTGCACCTGGAAGTTAATGTGAACATTTCCAGTGACATGTTGGCAGATCAGACGTAGAAAGTTCCACTGATTGACACAGCATGAGGAATCAAAGTCAGAGTTAACGTTTTGTTCCCCTTTTATTCCCCTTTTCTATTGTTTGCTTGCAATGAACAATCCAAACAAGAGCTTTACTTTCCATAAACATCTTGTTCAATTTTATAAACCATTGTTTCTCCTGTACAGTGCATTACTGTGATGTCACCAGTCAAACAATAGAAGACATATAAAAACAATTATTCTGGAGTTTGCACAGGAGGGTTTGCTCCATTTTAACTTATCAGAAGTGACATTACATACACTGTAAGCTTACTTGGTTTTTTAGCAGCTGTATGAGTACCGCAGTAAATTACAATGTGTTTATTCCCTCTCATGTGCCTTTGTGTTCTCTATTTTTACAGCAACAAGTGTATGAAGTCAAGCTGGAGGATGGCAACGTGCACGTGAAACACGCCAATCGTCTCTCCTTAGAGCCTTTTCCTGCGGATCAGAAGAGTTGAAAAACCTCAGCCCTTTGTGAGGCCCGTCTATTTTTAATACTTGTTCCACAAACCCAAGCCATCTGAAACATTCCTGAGCCTTATCTATCATGTTCACAGACTGTTTCTGCTTTGATTGCTGTGAACTCAGGACAATATCAAGAGGATTGTCTGAAGAGGACATGACATCATGAAACTGAGATGTACTTTCTGCTGTTCCAGGTAGAGATTCATCACAGATACTGAGCATGGAGCGTCACTACAGGCTTTTATAATACACCAGACCGTAGCAGATATAACTTCAAAACAGAAAGTTTACTTTTCATATGTAATATTACATTTTTACTGCATAACAACTATTTTGCCTATTGACCAGATTTAGTAGGATTCTTTAAGATAATCATTTTATTATTTCTGATTTAAATAATATAGAGTGATATAGTTTAAATGTCTTGGCATTTGAGCTAAAACATTTAAAAAATGTTAATCTTTATTCTTAGATTTTCTACTTGTCCATCCATTGCTCGTCTTATATGCTTACTAGCAAGCAATTACTGCCCTGTTTTGCTCCCAAATATCCTTTCTGATTTAAATACAAAAGGAAAATGGACAACTAAGTATAATTGCAATGAGGGGAGGAATTCACATGCATCCAGAAATAATGATTCTTGCTTTACAGTCATGATAGAGGTAATATGATTTATACAAAATATGCAAAATGCAATGATAATCTAGTGATTTGTAAATGCAGTTCAAGTGGACAAAATGAATCGTACAAATGAGTATGACATGAACATCAATGTCTGGTTTATATGAGAAAAACACATGTAGATTGTCATTTTTAGTTGTAGTATGTAATTTTGAAGTCTTAAGTGACTGACAGTCCATTCCAAAAAGTAATACAAGAGTTTCCACTAATTACAGTGGAGTAATTTGTAGAACCATGTCATGGTGGAAGTGTAATGACGTTAATATCCAACTAAAAGGTCTTATTGTTATTCCCACCATTAATTATCTTCAATGTCTTCAACAAGCATTACCAGAGGCTTCAAACTCTTTAACTTGCAAGCGATCAGTCACACTTGTTGAGTTGTGGCCTTTGCATAAATGTAGACATTTATTCCAGTGATGTCACCAAACAGAGAACTCCCTTTTAATGATTTGATTTTGGACCGTTTTTTTAACCCGAATAGAGTTCCAGCAAGTAAAACACACATGAAGGGCACTGCAATTACGTTTGATGGCAGTCAGAGTTAAGACTTCTCACACAGCAATTCTCTCCACTCCTGGCCTGTGCACAGACAGGTTTGTCTGTTATTGACGCAATTGGGCTCAAAAGAAACAGTTAAAGCGCCGCAGGAAGGTTCATGACCTTAAATGCACCATTGGTCTCAAAAATAAATGTTTTTTCTAGCTTAATGTGTGTGTGCACTGATGCATTTCTTACCCAGCGGTGAGGGCAGTCACTCACTGTGTTTTCTGTCAGCTCCATTTTCTGGCAGAGGCGCAGGGCCCATCCTGAAGGTGTCAGAGGCAACACACACTTTCCCCCCTGCCCTGCTGTGATCCTTGCTGTGCAACTTTATTACAGTAATAATTCCACTGGCTAAAAATGTCTGTAGTGTGCAGGAGTGTTTTTTCTGTGTGCAGTATAACTCATCACCTGAAGGGTAATAGACACACACAATGGACATGCAGCTATTTTGAGTCAGTGGAAAAATCGAAGTAAACATTGTCAGGATTCTGCACATTACATGATATTCTGTGAGTACTACTGAGAAAACCAGCATTACCATCTGTTGCTATATGTTTCCTTAAAGTTATTATATATGATGGGCTAATTTGAATGCATTTAGTTTCTTGTGAAAATTATGTATCTGGTTTATATGTAAAAAATGTCTGCAGACTGCATTGTTACTTTAGCCACATTTGATTTCAACCACCTATCACATGCACTGTTAGCTTCTGTTGTTTCGTATGTTTCAAACTATATTTATTGTTGTGACTTTTGCAGAGCTCAGCATTATTGTTTAGATCACAAATTAAATTATTGTTTGTTTGCATCACTGAAAACAATTTGTTTTCTTACATTCAGAAATGTGAAATTATTAAACCGTTTAAATTGTGTTCATATACTTTAAAAATTACACAGAAAATAGTTCAAAATGTTTACACAAAATTATTTATTTACAGTCTTGTTCGTACAATAATAGTAGATTTCATACAATACACAATTTACAAATAAAAACTTAATTCAGAGAGAAACAAGATGCATCGACATGCAATATTTAAGCGTTTACAGAGTATTATCACAAGTTATTTATGTAATTCTTCTACTCCCTAGAGCACAGTGGCAAATATACAACTCTTCACAAACTCCAGACAGCGGTGGAAAGGTTTAAGAAAGACCCCCTGAATAAATTATGGTCTGGTTGAGACCAGCTGGACTGTTCAGAATAGAAAATGGATTAATCGGTTCATGCTTCATTTAAGGAGAAAATCTTGGTGGTTTCTGGTGGAGGGAGAGTATTTTTTTTGCCCTAAGGTTACATTGTGCTGCCTAGCTTTACATGCAACCCCATTCTTTGACAAGGAGGCAAACTCTGGTTTAAAAAAGCAATCCACTTTGTGTTGTTGTTGCAAAAACAACCCAAGTTTAGCCAGTAGGTCTGAGGGGATAAATAGACTTGATTGTCGGCTACATCTGTAACAATAGTTTACTGCCAATTTGATGAGATGAACATTTGTATTTCCATGCAGTGGGGTTTTATCTGTTGGAACCAGGCTTCAATTCTCTTTACTTGATTCTAAAGACTTTGGAAACTTTTTTCTTTAGTCATTAAACCAAACATTGCGGAGGTCCTTTAATCTCCTTTGAAGTTCCCCAGAAGACAAAGTAACTGTTTGGAGAGCTCAGCTAACTTTCCCATGCAAAGCCTTGCATAATAGCTTACTCAGCCTATTATTGCTACCTTGTCCTCCAAATCCCCCTGATAGCTTCTCCTCATGAATAAGACAATTCTCCTGTCAAAGTTTTGTTCGGCTCTTTTCCGTGTGCAACCTCTCTTGAAGCCTGAGATTCTGTAAGTGATGGTCCGGGAGGCCAAAGTCCACTAATATTTTCCTTTCTTTTTTTCCCTTTACCAAACAGTTTCCTAAAAATGATTAAATCCATCACTAGATAATATTGCTGTTATTTTTTCTCTTGATGTCTTTGGTCTAACATTTCCTCCAGTTGCTCCACAGCTGTTGGGCCTCCTCAGCTGACCTCACACAACCATTCCTTTTTTTATAGGACTTATCTCTTCCCACACCTGGATGCAATCATCATCTTTTCTGTACGCTGTCAATGCTATGCCTGCTTCGGGAAAATGTTTGTTTTCATCTGGAGATCTGAGTCGTGGACGGCCCACAGTCCTGTGATTACAGAGGTCAGCAATAATGGCTAGATACCATGTGTTTTCACCCTTTAAAGCTGTTTTTGAGTGTTTTTCTGGAGTGTGCTGCTCTTAGTTCATAATGGAAAAATATTGTTTTTTACGACATGGGGCCAAGTTTAAGTGTAGGGTTACAATATAGTGTATGGCTTCAATTTCTTGCATTTAACTTCACAATGGCACCACACAAACAATAGGGCTGTTGCATATAAGGAATGATAAGGTAATCAGGCTTAAATGGAGTTACCTGAACAGTTAATGGTTTGACCATACCCCTCTTGGGCTCAGTATATTGTTGATGACTTAACTCTATCCTTTGTACATTGGAAATTAACTTGTTTTTCTCTTTGTGAAAGTCAGGTTCAAACTGTTTTAATAGTTCTCAAGAGGATATGTAATTTACTTTTTAATTAACAGCAGGCTTATGTTTACTATTCAGCCTCTCCTGGTCTCTCCATGGACCATTCCCCCCCTCATATGGTCTTCAATTAGTTCAGCTTGCAGAGCTTTTTCCATGGGTCTGCAGTTGCAATTTTGCGCATAAACAAGTTTTGGACTTTTATGACAAAGGGACATCTCTTTCTATCACCAACCTCAATGTAAATAGCTTTATTTGTGGTATTTAAATCTAATATTCTGTCGCAATATATCTCATTAACAGGATTTATGAAAACAGGGCCTTTAAGTCCACAAGTGTGTTCACTCTTTAATTGTCAGAGTCATACAATAAGTCTTGTAAAGGAAAATAAGTCTTCACCGAGTTTAACCACCAGAAAGATTGCTCTGTAGTTGAAAAGATCGCTGTAGTGTACGAATTGTATAATCTTCTGAGCCATGCAGCAAAGTATAAAAAAGGTTAATAGGTCCTGCGCAGTTCAGAGCGTTGAAGACTGATTACATGAGAGTTAAGTTATTTTGTGTCAGAAGAATCCTGCACAAGATCTCCTACACACACCTTTACCACATTATCTGCCTCACGTACTAAATAAGTTCTTGTTTCATTTAGCAGCAGCACTCTTTATGTACTGTACTCGTTTGTTACATGCTAATTTTGAGAGCTCAAGTTAAATTATATAGTTATTGCACTTGCACACAGATGCAAAGGCAGCTCACAAGCGCATTACCTGACAACAAAATTCCCCTTAGACACTGAATAACTCTCTCGAATGGTTTCTGAAAACTATTTGGAAATATGTATTTGGGTAACATTTTCTTTGGTTTTACTTTGTAATGTGCAGAGGACAGACATACATTATGTCATACCTCTAAATCAACTATGCTCTTTTTAGACTGCCTGCTGCTAGTAAGATCCATGCTTGTTTTTGCCATGGTCTCGTTCTTGCACATTTTAAGTAGGTGTGAATGGACGTTTGGCTGAATCACAGTTGGTAATGTAGCATGCTAGTGAAAAACATTACGAAGCATGACTGAAAACATCCTCTGCTCCCTGGGTGGCATGCCTGCATGTGTCTCTTAGGTGGAGAGATTTTTTCTGGTTTGTAGAAAAAGGAATCAGTGTCTTCTGCAGACAACAAGGGCCTCAAGTTGGTTCCTTTCTGATCTTTAAAATACATTTAAATGGAAAGCAATGGCCATTCATGAAGTGCTTGGGGCGTGACGTAGTATTTTCAGTTTGGTTTAAACTCAAGCTTTGAGAGAAATCAGCAAAACGCCATGGAGAAACTGGAATGCTAAAAATGAGATCTATAAAAGTAACAATGTCAAACTTCAGTCTATTTTCTTCATACATAAACTCAGACAAAAGCTTATTAAGTAAATGCCAGTCACAGCGTAACACATAGTCAAATATTTGCATGTCTTTTAAGAGGGAGGAGGAAACAATATACCAATCCCTTCAAGTAAGCATACTGGTAAGTCTAAACAATATCTTAAATCGATCTCATTCATTTGGCTTAGTTGCTGTCTGCCTCAGTTTTATGCCTCCACAGTTATGAAGGAGTATACTCATGAACAGACGGGCAACTTCGACATCCTTGATTTGATGACATCCTTGTCATGAGTCTTGACAGAAGACCTACAAATAAAAAAGAAACGGTATTTAAATCATTCAGGTATTATTGTCAGTGTTAAGTTACATGAATTCATCCTAACTCATCCTACAGACCTTGAAACATCTATTGGCGTTGCTGTGTTTGCGTGGACACTCTCCTCCTGGTTGTAGAGCTGACTCTGCGACTCTGGGCCCTGCCCCGCTGCTCTGAAGGATAGGCCACAATCTGGCTGGATAATCCCTGCACTTGCAGACCTGCTGACTCCCTCATGTCCCTCGCCATCTGAGCCAGAGACTGACCCGGGTTGGTCTGCAGACGCTGGAAAAGGCTTTCTCTGTTAATTTTCCTCTCTGGACAGCTGAAGGTCAACGCCACCCCAGAGTCTGACTTCATCTCCCTGGAAAAACCGTCTGAGGTGCCATCAAAGCAGCGGCCTATAGCAATCTCTTTGGCCACCCTTGGGTTCTGGTCTGTGACTGTGTAGATGCCATAGTTGTGTCCCAAAGGATCAAAAGGGGCTAGCATGGTGAATCCATGTGACTCGTTGTTGTGGGCTACTGGTGGATGTTTGATGAGATACTCTTGTAGAAGGCCATTGGTGCCCGTCCTGCGACAGTTCCCCTGTGGGAGGAGTGTTATGATGGATCTGTCTACCTCATCTTGATCAAACAGCATGCCGCTGCATTTGAACTCTACACAGGCTGCTGAGGTGTTGGCCTCTCGCATGTCCCGGGTGCTGCGGATGTCTCTTATTCCATAAAGTTTGCCTTTAGTTTCTCGGTGTGTTCCTCCCGAATTCTTCGACCTGACCATCACTTCCTTCTGTCCATGGATCTTGACCTTAATGAAGCATGCTCTGAACTCCTGGGGATTAGGCCACCATGAGAGGTAGTCTCCTGTCCAGGTCGTCAAATCATTCTCTTCAAAGGGAACAACATTGTATTCATACTTGTCCTTTTCCACTCTAAAGAATCTGAAATGATTTGCATCGAAAGGGGCATTTTCACAACCGATTAAATTCACATATGGATATATTGGCCCATTGGTCTCGTCAAAATTATTTTGGTTAGGCTTTGCCAAATTCATTTTGAAAGCTGTTTTCTTCAGAGCTGGATCCTCATGATCTGACCGCTGGTAGTCTATTTTACCCAGATATGGCTGAGACACTCCAATGATGTTTGGATTCATCTTAGGTGAGGAAGGAGCTGCCTCCAGTTCTTCCCCACCCATCATTGCTGTGACATAAGCTGTGTAAGCATCAGGCCTTTGGGCATCACAGAAAGCTGGTAAGCAGGCCCCGTTGGTTCCAGTTATGACGCTGTCAAAACGACCCCATGCCCTAGGATTAGAGGAAAATCCAGGTTTGGGTTCCAAATTTATCAAGGTGATCACAACACCCTCAAGCTGTTCACTAGATAAGAACTTATCACTCATGTAGGCACGGACTTTAACATAGCATCGTCGGTTTTCTGGCACGTCTAAATTGAAGAGTCTACGTTCTCTGATCTCCATGTTGCCTATTAGGAACGTGCGGTCCTCTCGTTTGCTCCGCCCATGACCACCAGCACTTGTTGTGGTGTAGGAGAAGTCACTCTCCTCTTCCCAGACTCCTGT